GGAGAAAGAGCCAGGGTTTCATACCCCTACATCATGGGTAATGTGGAGCAGGGTTTTAAACTCCAGGCACTTCCTGCTCTCATCAAAGGCAGGACATGCAGCAGCAGTAGCCCAAGAGGAATTGTAAAAAGAGGACCCAAGTGCTGGCCTTTAGAAGTAAACTCAGAGATGGGGCTGGTGACTGTGAGCACGCAAAGCTAGAACTTGAGTGGGTCTGGGCTGAACTTTGACAGTTCTATCCTTACCTTCTTCTTCTGTTCTGTTTTTATTTGAAGAATATTTATCATCTGGTTAATTTAGGAGACACTGTAATTTGATTCTATACTTTATACTCTGAAACATTTGTTCACACTGTTCTTGTCCTTCACCAAACTATTCTTTATGCCTTAATCACCATGAAGTGCCCTGAATCACTTCAGAGGAAGCAATCTTCCATATATTTACATCAATACTATTTCATTTAATTTACCAAACCCAGAAGAGTATGAATTCTATCCTACCACTTCCCAAATCATTCAACGCAGGAAATGTTATTGCTGTATTATCCGCTTCAACCATATATCTGAAGCTATTTTTTTGTGTATTCAATCTAAAGTGGAAGGTATTACCATAGGTCATGTGTCCTGGATATCATGAATCCCGATATAAATAAACACAAAAAAGTAGCAAGTGTTCTATTTCAGTAGAACTATATGCAGAGATCAGAAATTCACCAGGAAACAGGGCTTTTAACTCCAAAGTTCTGGGGTCAGATTTCAATAAAATATAAGCTTTAGAAAAGCAGGGAATCTAACTAGATATAATGACAACAATACCCCCAGTACCTTGAACAATGCCTGGCACATAGTGGGTTTTTGGTGCACATTTTTCAAATCAATTATAATATTAATATTTTACCCACATGAAATACTGTTCTGTGGTTTTATTTAAACTGATTGTCAGCATGGAATGACTTCTGCATTCTCTCCTGGAAGTGGGTGAATTTCCATGGTGAGCAATTCCTCTACATACAGTTTGCAAATCATTTTGGGAACCTTCCAAATGAAAGGCACTGTATAAATATACCCTCCCACCAGCAGCCAGCCGGCTTTCCACCGGGGATGCATTTGCATCGCTTATGTACATAGTGTTTCATTTGGGGCATTGCTTTTATTTTTATGACCATAAAAGAAATATTCACAGTATGAACAATAATGTAAACTGCATTCAAGAAGATATATATTTGTATATTTTTATGATTCAAAACTTAGAAATCTGAAAGAAAAGCAGGCATGGCATTTTTCTTTCCTGTTGCTGTTTTTTTCATAACAATCCTTATTATTCCTGAACTTTATGGTGGAATTTTGCTGAAATGCTCAAGTTTTTGTCTGTACCTCATTTGAGAATATGTAGTGGTGGGTTCAAATGAATTTCGCTGGCAAAAGGCCTGAAAATGAAGGGTACTTGATTTTGCGTTTATTCATGTCTGTAATAATAGTTTGCTTTAGGGAGCCTTTTTGTGGATAGAGGCCTCTTTAAGGAGAGAAAGAGAAAAAGAAGCAACCTCAGGTATAAAACACCTAAGTAACTTAGCATGATAATGGGGACTTTCACAGAAGGGAGAGACTTTGAAGAGGTGTATTTTAGCCTTCATAACAAAAGTGGGCTGATTTCATGCAGCATTTCTGAGGAGCTAGACTTTAATTCACATCACACAAAAATGTTTAATGAACTTTGAAATAAATTGCCAACAGAGTTAAATCAAAACTTCTGTAAATTGTGTATTTATTTACATAGAATCATCTGCATACAAAAATAAACTGAATTACAACTTCTTAATTTATATATATATATATTTCTATCCAAAATTAATTAAACTTAAATTGAATGAAAAAAAACCCACTCTAGACATATTTTCAAGCTTTGAGGATATTCTAACCTTAAAAGAGTTCATTATAAAAAAGAGCTTCTCTGAATATTCAGAGCAATTTTATTTAACAATATACTTAAAAAGGTAGGTCAAATAAAACTCTCTTCTACTTCACTGGGGAATGATGTGAAGTGTGGAAAGTTAAACTTAGGCTACTAATTTCTAAAGGTAGAATCAATAAGAATTTGAGTTCATTTCCTGTGTTCACAATTCTCTTTCATAAACACCAAATTCAATAGGTCCTTGCTTTTTTACTACTAAAACAATGAATGTAGTTTTTAAACCTCAGCTATCATAAAGTAATATTAGGGAATAGCTCACTCAGGTTATTTTGTGGCTTATAAAGTAGATGTTATTATATTCTCCTCACTCAGAATATTATTGTAGCTAAACTCTAGTAGTACCAACTTCATTTCATTAATCTGATGTAAAATATCATGGTACTCTTCTTTCTTATTATCAGAGAATAAAAGAGCACTTTCTTCAACAGAGAAAAGCTACAAGCATGGATTGATCTGCAGCCAGTTTTTACTACAAACCCCATAATGCTTTGCATTGCAGCCTACAATCCCCATACTGCTGTGCCAAACTTACTATTAACTATACTGTTACTGGCAAAGAAAAGAACAGTACATTTGAGAACTATGCAACCTACAAGGTTCCTACTTGAGTAACAAATTATTGATTTTTTGGTGTGTTTTGATATTTACTTGCTTTTTAATTTAGGAAAAAAGCCTACTTATGGATATGCACATTATTTCTTTATCCTGAATATAATGTTGCATATTGTCAAATAATGTGTCAAGGTATATACATACTTCCCATGTCAAAGGCTTTTTTTTAACACCCATGATTGAATCCTATACTTCTTCCCCTTTTGGAGGGAGGTCAGCTTTCTTCATATTTTAAAATAAAATTACAATGCATTGTTTAAAGCTCTAAACATCTGCAAATGAGAATTCCGTGAAGTAATTAAAATTCTTAATTAGATGCACCTTGCAGCTGCTGTTAGTCTTAATTGGCAATAATGCAGCTACATCTTGTTCTGACACACATCTTCAGAAGAGTTAGAGAGGGAGCTGAAGGGAGGCAAGAGGAAAATGTTCCCACACAGTTCAAGACAGTTCGCACAAAGAGGATCCCATGGCAACAAACAGCGAGGCCCACAGTTGGCTCTGTAGGATCCAGGAATAGACAATGCTTCACCTCCCATTCAAACAAACACTTCCCTTTCTGGATCTGAAGAGAAAGCATTTTAACTCATCTCTAGCAATAGGATTGAAATGGTCAAATGTTCACCTGTGTCTTTAAGGCAATAGATGCTCTCTGCAGCCCATGTGAAGGTACCAGTTTCAATGTGTGCTCTGTGTAGATTAACAAACTTGCAGAAGCACTGCAAATAGAGGACTGAATTTTGACCCTTATGGAACTGGTACACAGTTTGGCAACAGTTTTCAGATGTCGTTTTATAGACAAGGAAACTGAAGCTAAGAAAAATTAGTGATCCCCATGGGTAATTACAGCTACATAGAAGTAGGATTTAGACTCAAATATAGGATTTGAGCCTACAGTCCAGGACTTTTACTCAAGTAACTTTTGTTAATAGTGTCCCCTCCAGTCTATTTGAGGTCTAGTTCTTCACTTAAGTTGGTCAGCAAAAGGTCTATGCTAGAAGGTGTAGAAAATATGGATCACTCATTGGGAGAAGAATTCCTTCTTACCTCTTGTCTTCATATTACTGACTTATAGCATGTTGGAAAGGCTATAAGAGAACACAGGAGGTTAATCTGGGTGAGTTCCTTCAGAGAAATCATGTAACACTTTCCCGCACACTTTAACCACATCTTCCCTCTGCTTGGACTGGAAAGTTTAGTTTAATGTACATTCTTTCAAAATTCAGATTTCCTCCCTTTCTAGTCTACCAACCCTCATTCATCCTCACCTGTGCCCCGACTTAGCTTGCAGTTAGTTTAGGTCACATATTACCTAATAATTGCAAATGTTTCCTTCATCTTCAACTTGTATCTTAGTCCCTAAATTTAATGAAGATGTATTAGATTCTCAAGGGCCAAGGCTGTTTTTGCCTATACTTCTGTTTTTTGGTTTATCTTGTTAATGCTTCCCTTATAAAAACTTGTGGAATACATTGGAAAGTGGATTAAGGTTTTTAAGAATGGGAACTGCAGGAGGGGTTACTGGAAATGTTAAAGCATGGGAAGGAGATGGAGATGGCGACTGGAAATGCATTTCTCTATCCTTTCTGCCCTGCCTACTTCTCCGTCAGATCCAATCATTGTGGGGGCAGTGCAAATATGAACACTTCCTTAGGGTCTTGCTATGACAATTGTAGTCCGTAGTCCCACCGCATTATTATTGTCCACCAACCAGTTTATCAGAGACAAAAACTCTCAGATTTCCCTTCAGATCTATTGAGTCAGAATCTGCATTTTAAAGAGACACCCTGGTGATCTCCATACATTAAACTTTGAGAAGCACAGAATCAAATGTGTATAGTGTACTATCCCAAGGTAAAAGGGCGAGGACCTTAAACTGAGCCAATATCTTAATTTATTTACCAGTACTTTGTCCCTCTTTCTTCATCACAAATCCATTTTAGAAAACCGCAGCGAACTGAACTCTTTTGTAAGGAACGCTATTACACGGTGGGTGGGAGGATGATCCTCTTCAACCCCCTCCTCTCAGCTCCTCATCCCACCTCCCTACCCCCCACTCCCAGTGAGCCTTCCACAAGCACTCTTCTTCCGAGCCCCACTCTCTCAGGGACGATTTTTGCTCCTTCCCAAACTGAAACAGCACGGGGGAGGCTTGCTGCCTGAAGGACTCACAGTTTACATACCAATACAGACACAAGCACTTTGCAAAACTGCCCTTTAGAAACAATTATCACCTTGCCACCTGAGATTTGGAGCAGCCCCTGCGCGCCCCTCCCTTTCGAAATCCGTCTTAAAGTGATACTCAGAACCAGACTGAGCGATCGCGCGCAATATAAATCCGCTTGAAAGAGAAGAAATGAAAAGGAGGTTATTATGAGTGTCAGCCTAGGCATCGCTCTTTGTACCTTTCTGCTTCCTAGAGAAATGGAACCATAATTCTAAGGTGACTAACGCAAGACTGGGTAAGCATCCAAATTTCCGGGACAGCTTTGCCTGGAAGGACGGATTCCCCTTATTCTATACATCCTAGGGTCTTTTCCAAAAGATTCCCAGGCTACCCTCCTTCCTCTTCGGTCTTCTGCAAACTAAAACTCGCAAAGCGGTGGCTGTCTGTGGATTGGCTAGTACTAAAATATCCATTGGGTGGCAGTAATACTATCCTCTTTATGACTTGCAGCAAACCAGAGAATGCATTCAATCAAATGAACCGATCTTGTAGAAACACTGGAATCATTTATGCATTGCAGTTTCTCTTTCTTGTTTTCGCTCCTTCTTCTCTGGGATATTTTGAGGGGATTGTGTCTATTAATCAAGATCTCGTGCTATTCGTGGTTTGCTTGTCGTTTTCGCTCAGGATTAGCATCATTCAAGACAAACGCAAAGCTGCTTTTTTCCCCCCACTCTCTTTTGAAAAATCATTTTTGGGGGCTGCTGAAGAGAGCTAGGACCCAGGAGACACCTTCCCAAACAGCAGGGGTTGTGTGCTTTCACATAGCAGTACTGTACAAGGAAAACCCCGTCGGATCTGTTATTGCGGGATACTTGTGAAATATACATAGGATTCTTTCTTATGGCTGCATCCCGGATTTGGAAATTTTACTTGGGGACCAGGAAGATTTGAACGGCTACATGTATCCAGAAGATTTGCAAGCAAGACTCCGATTCTTGTCATAGAGCTCACAGACTTCCTCACTTATCAGCCTTTTTCCTTCCTTCTTTTTTAAAAAAATTTTTTTTAATTTCCCCCCTCTCTTTTTTATGCTCTCTTCTCTCTCAGTCTCTCCTTTTCTATCTGCCTCTTCTTTTTTCTCCTAGTCTTTCCCCCCCTGCTCTGCACCTGGATTGTATCTTCACCAAACAATCGGGCACTTTGAGAACTAACTGGAGACAGTCTTGTAGGGAAGATCTGTATGGAATTATCTGCTTTTATGGTGAACTTGGCATTTGTGAATGGGTATCTTGTTCACGATATTAATTGCTAGCAAAAACAAGAAAAAGAACACAGGAGTAAAACGTGGATTTTTCTGAATACGCATTGTGATGACCAGCAATTACCTTACCCACTGATATCCAGAGGAGAATAATTTGGAAGACTGTTGTGGGTAAGGTCATTTTATATATGCAAAGCCATCAGTGGTGTGAGTAAACTTGGGCATTTGTAATAGGAATGGGTGACTTGGATGATTGCTGCATCGCATTGATGGCTGTGATGTGGCCGTTATTGGCACTGAATGGAATAACTGCAGTTGGGTGTGTTGGTGTGTGTGCATGTGCGTGTGTGTATGTATGTGTGCCTGTATTCTGAGTATAATTGAAAATAAATCAAAGCATCACTCTTCCTCCCCCCAATTATTTTGATATAGAAGAGTGTTTTAAATTAATTCTGGGTAGACACTCTTTGTTTGGATGCAATAATTGTGGCTCCTGTGTTCTGAAGGGGTAGCAGCAGTAAAAGGAACACTAAGTGAAGAGCCCCATTTAAAATGAAACGACCTACTCTTTATTCATTAAAAGAAATATGTTTTCCACTCAGTGCAGCATTCTGCTGCATTTCACAGCCGCAATGGGACCACGAACATCCCACTTGTCAAGTTCCTAAACTTTAAGGTGATAATCATTGTTAATTGTTCTCTGGGTTGTGGTTACTGGAGATTATTAAGTGCCCCGCACTACTTTTCTATCTATTGGAATATCACTCGGAGTAAAAGGGGGAAAAAAAGGGAAAAAAACTGAAAATGATGACTAAAATACAGAAGAAGAGGGCGATGTTATCTTAAATATCACCATAGCGCTTTCTTTCTCAAGTTCAATTGCCCAATAATGTAATTATTTGCCCGGTATCCTAAATAGCTGAAGCTGTGACCCACGTGCAGGGGAGTTGAAGGTCTGAAAGCAGAGACGATCCTATTATTGCAATGCAGCCAGCTTGGGAAATGCAGGCAATTACACACTTCCCTTAACCTTAAGTTGAAGATGTGTCCTGTCTGCTATTTTACCCTTTTGGTGAAAAGTTAGAGACTAGAGCACTAAGGATGCTTAAGCATATTCTGCCTGAGAAATGGGTTAAAAAATCGATATTGATGACGTGGTTCAGTGCACTGTACTGCAATGCTAAAGTCCCATATTCAGTACCTATGATGAGAGAATGGAGCATTTACATGTGTTATAAATCTCACCTGGTAGATTGATCCAAAGGGGAGGGGATAAGATATGTGGATATGTAGGAAGATGGATGGAAGTCGTGCATAATCGGTGATTATGTAACTTCATTACATCAGTGAGTTTCAGTCAACGATAGTGAGATGAAATGATTGTATATAGAGAGGCTCCATCACCCTGTTAACTTTTGAAGGCTTGTAACAGCTAACAGAAGAGGAGGGCAGATAGAGATTAGCTCCAGGGTCCTGTAAACCTTGATCTCTGCGGCGAATTTAGCATGAGTTTTCTCAGTGAGTTTCTGAGGGATAGCACAGATCATGTAAGCTTTGGGCTGGATAGGAGCAATTTTAGCCACACCCATGGAGAGTCAAAATGTGTCCGCAATGTTTCACAAGTGTCCCATTGAGTGACTGGGGCTGATGATTCCAGCCAAGGTCATAGATCTTTTTCCTATGATTGAAATATGTGACCCGAACTGAGTGGAAAGTTAAACCCATTGAAATGAAGACTGTGTACATAATGACAATTTAGTGTCCTCTCGTATTTTTTTCTGGTAGAGCTTGATGCAGATTTCAGTCTGGTGTTTCTCTCATTAAAAAATGATGATTGTTTCCATAGTGTGTCAGAAATGAGTGCTTTGTACCTTTATCTTTGCCATGACAACCTCTTTCTGGGCCATTTTAACCCTCTGGGAAAAGAGAAGTAAAAACCTTTAAAGGTAACACTATCCTATTGAATTAAAAGATAAATGGCATCAAATTCATTATTATTATGAATACCATAAATAAAAAGCAGTCTATTTTCAAGTTTTACTTATCAAATGTTTTAAAAGACATGTTGCAGTCGCCAGAGACTTTTAACCATGAGATGAGATAAATGTACTGTGCTCACTGTACAGAGGAAGGAATACTGCAGAATAAAATGTCATTTTTTCCTCAGGCTTAATTTGGAGCTCTGGTTTTTTTAAAAGTAGGAGCACATCAGCTTCTTTTGGCCTTCTGCTGTTTTAGGATCTGTTGTTTCCTTTCAACAGATCACACATTCAACAAAAATTGAAACTGCTGACATTCTAACCCTCTTCAATTGCAGCTTATCATCCACTTGTGCTATATCCTAAGTTCTTTTACATTTAATTTACAAAGAAAGCTAAATGACTTTTCTTTCAGGGAGGTGAGATGATTCTTTCTGTTTTTCATTTATATCTCATTGTCCATTTCCTTACAATCTTATAGAGTCAGGTGCAGGATCTAGACACCCACTAAGAAACTTTGAAAAGGTTTGCTCACCTCAAATCAGAATGGTGGAATTGTAGAATGAAATTTTGAGGTCTGATATTTGAGGTGACTTTCTTATTTCAGCAGGACATGCCCAAACATTGATATATTGTGCTAGTGGATTTGGAGGTTTGGTGTTTATATTGTGTAGGAAATTGAATGTGAAGTTAACTCCTGATTCCTTCCTTCAGGGGTCAGGGTAACACAACGGCTGCTTCCAGGCTGTTAGTCTTCAACTATGAGCAGAAATATAGCCTGCAATTCTTTTTCCAGTATCCCTTATTTTAATATTTTATAAATGACTTCCTCAGTTGTTTACTGACTTAAGCCACACATATGTTACCAAACTGGGCATATTCTCAGGTTTTCTAAGCTAAGTAGGAGATAGAAAAATAGCAAAATGGAAAAGGAAGTCTGTATAAAAAGATACTGATCATGAAAAAAATATGTAATTATTATCCTTTTACTTGAAGACTGCCTATACTCACATTAGGAAAGATAGTTTCAATCATTTTAATGGCTCTTATAACCTGTTACTTTCTTTAGGAAGAGGATTATGTAACCATGGCAGGTTATGGCATTTTTCTTAAGTATCCTACAAATCAATAATAAAAAGCTTTGCTTAATAGGAAAGCATTTAAACATGAAGGCAGTGAGTAATATAAAATATAATATCTATTCTTCTATTTTATTGCTATATTGTCAGCCCAAGTTATGTGGTTAGATTAGAAAAATTGGGGAAAAAAAGAAGAAATACCATTTATGAATATGGAAGCTACTAATTTTGTTTCCTGACCAGTTGCTTCAGCAAAGTCAGGAAATTTAGCAGACATATAGTGACAGTATTCCTATAACTAGGAAAAAGCTTAAATGAAAAATTTATTATGTTTGCAAAATATTTGAAGAAATCAGCATGATTTTGGTTGACTAATAGATAAAACATTTTGGAAGATTAAAAGATTCTGAAATATAAATCTTAAATTAATCAGTTATACACTGAAATATTTGGAGTATACTTTGTCTTACAACAGATATGATCTTTGGAGTTTGATAAATCTTGTGGTTTTGCAAAGCAGAACATTCTATAATTTATGGCAGTAGAAGAAGTGTTGATTAGTAAAATTTAAAATTAGCAAGTTTTCTGATGATGTTCAAATCATAAAGCATAATTATAATGGTGCCATTTGGGCAGCTATAGTTAAATTCCTGTCAGCATTTTTATTATTACATTCCAATCCTATTTCCATTAGTCGTATCAGGAATCTCAAAGAGGATGTCTCTGAGACATTAAGGCACTGTAGACTTCTGGGCTGAGTCAGAGGGCCTGAGATGTTCTTCAGACTTTGTTAGTTACTGGCCTTGTGACCTTTGACACTGCACTTGACCTCTCAGAATTCCAGAGAATCATTTAAAAAAAATAGAATAGTTATGTGTGATTCTAAAGAAAGGGTATGCTATGCCTTTGAAATATACGGAATTATCATTATTAAAGATTCCCCTAAGTCTTACAAATCTAGCAGGATATTTATTCTCTTGCCATAATTGTAAATCTTTCTAGACACTTTCTAGTACCAGTTAGAGTAAGCTGGTAGATAATATCAATCAGTGGTTTAAGCTACTAGACAAATTAAAGGCTTTGGTTGCCACTTTCACTCATTACTTAGTTTTGGTTTTTTTAGGAGTACTCATATCGGAATGTAGTTGTCTTAAGTAATTAAAAAAAATAGTTGTTTTTGAATAACATTCAAGGAGTGGAAACTAAGGATTTTGTATGTGAAAGTGTTTTAAAGAGATTGCTTTTTGAAAGTGCCCCTGAGTACTTAGGAGTTTCTGTTTCGGGTACAAAGAGTACACAAACAAGCATACATGAACAAACTCCATGCTACCACTTGAATTGGGTCAACTGACCAGAAAGCTGCTCTCAACTATCACTTATTAACAGAACTATAATGAGTTTGAATACCAAGTAAAATAGAAGAAATGAGAATATAAAGATAACAGTTCTGTTTGGAATTTTCTAGTTGCAATAATTACTAACGTTCTTTAGGGGGAGGCAATCCCCCATGTGTCACAGCTTTATAAAGCTGCATTTCTTTAATGTTCTTGTATCTTAATATAAATAGATTTACATAAATGAGAAGAGAATAGTTAGTAATATGAGTTTCCATATATGTTTTTAAATGACTGAATAAATAAGCCAAGAAGTAAGTTTTATATTTTGGTTAAGGGGAATTGGAAAGTGAAAAATCAACCCTGTAAAAAAAAGAAATAAATGTACATGGACTTAAACAAATAAAACTTTTGGTATAGAGCAACCTCATCTTCCTAACTTCATAGTGATTTGCTTTTTATGTTTAGCATTCTCAATTCCTTTGTTTTGGATGAATTTGATCATGCATGTTTATCTGATTTCATTGATGCCTATAAATAGCAAGGCTTTTCTTAGTTTCCTATATTTAAAGATGCATATTTTTATGTTTTATGGAAGTACTTTAGTTTTGCTGAAGCAGATTAACAAAGGAATATCACAGAAATATAGACAGGCTTGTTTATTTTGACAAATCCAGCTAATCACCTTACAAATATGCTTTTAATTTTCACCCAGAGAATGCCACCCTGGAGTGTCTTACACTGCACATAGCATTCCATTACAGGCCAACCACAGGGCT